GGGCCAGGTCTATTCAACTGTTCTGCTCCAGGCCCACACCCTCAACTGACATCCCGTGGCAGACAGGAGGAAAATTCTCCCCAGGCCTTGTGGTGTGACAGCACCCAACAGGCTGGAGGAGGGGCAGGGACGTACCTGATGATGGTGTGCATGCCCCGCACCTGTGGTGTGCTCTCCAGGACACTCAGCGTCTTCGGCAGTGGCTGCCCTTGGTGAGCAGAGGCCAGGGCTGCCCTGCGGAGAGAAAGGGGGTCAGAGCCGTGCAGCACAAGCAGAGCCACCACGCTGGGCCCTTGGAGGGACACAGCCTCGCTGAAGGAAGGCTCCAAGAGACCCCTCTACACAGGCTGGTCACCAGGAAGCACATGGCCTCCCCGTCTGGATCCTGAGGAATGACCCACGTCTGGTACCAGGTACCAGAGAGACAGACCAGGGCAAATCTCCCACACCACACACGCCGCTGCTGCAGCCTCCACAGCACTGGCCTCAGCCAGCATGAGAAGCAGCAGCTCTGCAGGGGCAGGACCATCCCACACACCCCGGGACCAGGCTGTGCCAAGGGACAAGGGCTGTCCCACTGAGAGAGGACACGAACTCCCAGGGAACATGGAGCACGCAGGGCACTTCTGCAAAAGTGAACAGCCCAGGATAACCCAGCAGTCGGGGCAGGAGCCCCACTCCAGACAGGGATGGAGCAGGGTGGAGAGCTGGCCACATACATCAGGCACAGTGTGGGATGGGTCACACAGAGCCTGCAGCTGCGGCCACACGAGCCCCAGGGAGCTGAGAGCAGCCACTGCAGCATCAGGGAGGAGCAGCTACACTTGGGCACCAGAGCAAAGGTCTGCCAGTGGTGATGGGGAGGCAGCAGGACTCAGGATCCAGCGGGTGCCGGCAGCCCCCCACCCCAGCCCAGAACCAGCCCTTCTGTGGTGGCAGGACCCACATACCTGACCGTGATCTCACGCTGGGCGGTGAAACGGTCATCGGCGCGGCACAGAAGGACACAAGGACACCCAGTCAGTCACTCGCAGGCCAGCACAGCCATCGTGGGCAGCCCGGCCAGCTCCCACCCTCCTCCCCAGTGCCTGCCTCTCAGCTCTGCTGCCCTGAGAGCCATGCTGAGGCCTTTTGAGAAGAGAGAGGTGACACCAAGCCCCCTCGGTGCTCCAGGAGCACAGGGCTGTCCACAGCCCCATCCTGCCCTCTACGTGCAGGACTCTCCTGATCCTCGCCCCGGCTCACCTTCTCCAGCTGGCTGTGCACGTGCTGCACGATGAGGTCCAGCGCCACAAAGTTTTCCCCACCTGAGAGGGGAGCAGAGGAGCCAGGTGGGATGGATGCTGACCTACCCCTGCCCCAAGATACCCATTCTCAATGGCAGGATCAGCTCTGGCCTCACCCCTGGGCACCACGATGTCGGCGACCTGCACGGTGGGCTCGATGTACTGTTCAAACGCCGGCTTCACAAACTTGTTGTACTGCTTGATGACCCCCGCGACGTCCCGCCCGCGCTCCATGATGTCGCGCTGCAGCCGCCGCACCAGCCGGATGTCAGAGTCCGTGTCCACAAACACTTTCATGTCCAGGAGCTGGAAAACTGGGAGGGGTGAGCACCCCTATGCAACCCTGCCTTGCTCCCCTCGGCCGTCCAGCCACGGCACCCAGCGTCACTTCCCCCGTGCCTCTGGCACGGGGTGTTCTGCCAGCGAGCGTGGTGACCTCTCCCTCCACAGCCCCCACCGCTGCAGTGGCACACAGGACGACCACCCGTCCCATCTCCACAGGTCCCCTCCAGGTCAGCATGGAGCTGGGCCAGTGGCTGCCTCAGGCAGCAATACCTTGAGCAGCTCCTTGTTGGCAAAGGCCAGGATCCCTTCGAACACGATGACATTGGCCCCGTACACCGTTTTCTGCAGGCAGACAGGAGCTGTGCTCGTCCTGCCCTCCTCGCATGCTGCAGCAGCACCAGCACAGACACTCCCTGACACCCCCAGACTCTCACCAGTGTGGTGGGGCTCCCCATAACCGTCCTGCACCACCCAACCTCTCAAGGTCCTTGCTCACACCTGCGCACCACACTCCAGCTGAGCATGGGCTCTGAGCCTGGCTCCAGACCCCAAACCTCTGCCCAACACCTTCCCCCCAGCTGTCATCCTTCCTCCACACTGAGCCTCTCCCTGAACTCTGTGCTGGCCTGTTCTGAGATCCATTCCCATGCTCCTGCCGCCTCTACACCTCCGGTATGAGCCTAAAACGAACCCCCCACATCTGATGATCCCCAGCCCCTCCCTGCCTTACTCTCCCAGCTCCCAGAAGTGCTCCCCTTCCTGGGGCTCTGACCCCCAGGCCCAGCCCGGCCCTGAGGCACCCACCCACTCACGGCGCCGGCTGTGCGTGGTGAAGTCATACACTGGCACCTTCACGCTCTTGCCCTTCTTCAGCTTGCGCAGGACACTGATGAGCAGCTCGAAGTCGAAGGCATCGGGGTGGTCAAAGTTGTAGTCGCTGCGGGCTGCCAGCGCCTGCTGCCCCTCGTCCAGCACCTGCAGGCATCAGCACCACTCAGTGCCACGCTGGATCCCTGAGCACTGTGCAACCCCCAGGCATTGGCACCACTCAGCGCTGCGCTGGACTCCTGGCACCAGAACTGCCCACGGCCGCACTGGACCCCCGAGCCCCAGCACCGCTCAGCACCGCGCCGAACTCCCGGGCCCTCCACCCTTACCTTGTAGAAGGAGTCCATGGAGAGAAGCACGACCCAGGGCACGTCCAGCGCCTCGATGATCCGAGTCGCCACCGTGGTCTTGCCCGAGGCGCTGCCACCGCACAGGCCTGCAGGGAACGGGGGGGGCACCGCCCCGGCCTCGGATCCGTCACGGCCCCGGATCCGGCTTCAGCTCTGTCCCGGTCCCAGTCCCTCCCCGGCCGTGCCTCGGGGCCCAGCTCCAGAATTTCCGACTGCAGCCTGATCCCGGTCCCGATCCCGACACGGCTCCATCCCCTCCCCGGCCCGATCCTGGCCCCGGCTCTATCCCCTCCCCATCCCCGTCCCGCCGCTCACCGATGACAAAGGCCTCGTCCACGGGCGCGCCGGTCTCGCTGTACCAGGGCGGCCGCCCGGCCGTGTAGATGGTCCGTTTGCTGGTGCGCAGCAGCGGCGGCTCCGGCTTGCACTGGCTGGCCGTGCGGCGCCGCGGGGCCGGGGCGGGCGCCAGCGGCAGCCGGCTGAGCAGTGAGCCCAGTGGGCCGGGGCCGCGCTCGGGCCCCGCCGCCCCGCGCGCCCCCCGCCGCTCCTCCGCTCCCGCCGCCGCCATCGCCGCCCGGGGCCGCGGGGGCTGCCGGGACGGGCCGCGCTGCGCACGGCCCCGCGGGCAGGCCCCGCCCCCGGCCCCGCCCCGGGACGGACCCCGCCCCG